TAATAGATGTAAAGCCGATCACTACAACCTAGCAGATTCTGTTGCTAGAATAGGTATACAAGTTAAGTCTATATGTGAATGCACCCAAGGACAAGAAGACCCGAACCACTTAATATGACAGTGCTGTCTCTACAACAGTCAAAGAACAGAGCTAATTAACACTCTAAGAAAACAATCCAAATAGAATACTTAATCAAGAGTCCAAACACACAAACTTGTAAGAACATACTGTCGGCGTAGAAACCACGTCACCGATGATAGCGAAGAAGCAACGGACAAAGCTTGAACATGTCTCCGTTTGTCGATTAATTTTTCGCGAACTATAAATTATTCACAGGAATTACCTCGTGTGTTCCTGTTCGATTATCGATCTGCTTTGACACCGACAAGACTACGGTCGTTCGCTGGAAAATCCGAAACGTTTCGAAGCTGTTCGCAAGACGTCGTTGACGGGCGATGCCAACGACGTGTTTCTTCTAACGAAAATTGCGCTGGCTGATGGACAAGCATTGTCCATAAGCGTAAGAGCGTACAGGCCAATAACGTTTCCCGGTAACATTTCCCTCAATTTACGACGCACTCCAGGCATTTTTATACCGTCCTCCTTTAACCGAGCTTCGCCTGCCTCCAACTCGCCGTAAGTGTACTTCCGTTCCCTGAAATTTAACGCGTTATTTACGTCGTTTCGGTGCAATCGAAATCTTGGCCGTACTAACCGTCGCAATTTCCAGCGGAAGTCATACCGCGAAACGAACGTTTCCTGCTTGTGTTTTGCCTTTCCACGTCTGCGGTCAACTTTCATACAGTCCCCTCGTTTATTCAGCAACCAAGCTCAGTCTCCTTCGCAGCCAAATAACACCGTATTTTTGGAAACAGCGCGAATGAATTACGACCTCTCGCTGTAATGAGCCCCGGGAACGCCATCGTTCTATTATGTATACGGCGGACATTCGCGCGCACGGACAAGCACGGTGACACGACACGCCGGTGATAATAGGACGGAATTTTGCAGGAAAGGTTAGCCGGATGACCTGAAAGCCTCCAATCTGGCCGACTTCCTGCGAGTTCTCGTAGGGATTTCACCGTTATATATGGACGCAATCATCGTATGCATGTCCATCGACCAATTGGACGCGCTTCAACCGGGCGTGAATTTACATGAGGGCCACCGTATCGTATCGAGAGCAGTAAAAAACAATTGGATGGCCTTTGCAGGTGTGTGTATGTGTATCGTGGAAACGTTCCTGCTCGTAAACCGACCCTCGCCGCGCGACGCGTGCTTTCGCGTACGGTAGACGATTACGTCGAACGGGAGAGGAGGCGATGTAATCCCTTAAGAATATCGAGATCTCGGGGGTGTGTAATATCGAGGAAACGGATCCTGACGGCTGCCTAACAACCATGACGTAGCCGACGGCGGCGCGTAGTCGCGGTGCGTTATTAACGAGAGGCCAGGATCGTTAAGAGCTCGCGCCGAAATCAGCCGTGCTTTACGCGCCGCCCTCTTCATAATAAACCCACTTCCTCCTCCGGAGTGTATCCTTCGTTGCGAACTTAGCCCCTACTTTGCCTGCTCGTCGGCGGTGATCGTAATTTACCGACGCGCGAGTGGGCGGGAGAGAACACAAGAGCCCCGGCGTTACAGGTGGGAAAGTTTGCCTCGTAAAATGTTCGACACACCCGAAAGACGACACACGTTGCTACACCGTCGCCTCGTTATTACGTTCCACTTCGACGGAGAAACGTTTTTCGGACGAAAAGAAATTTCACAATCGCCTGCTTATTGGTTATGCCCTGAAGGGGAAGGCAAATTCCTGGGTTTTTCCAAGTGACGTGGAGATGAAAAACCTCTCCTTCAGGGCGAAGCGGACGCCAGAAAAATATACTCTCAACGGTAGGGTTTATGGCTGTATTGTCTGCGAGTCAGCGCGCCCCGGTAAGGCCCGGCGCGGATGGGTCCCAGGTTACCGAGCGCATGTGGCGGACTACAGACCAAATGTTCGTTTCTTTTGTCTCTTATTCCATTTTGCCTAACTGAACGAAGGAAATAAAATAATAAAAAATAACGGTATCGTCTGACTCTATAGCCGTCGTTTCGGTCTACGACGGAACAAGGTGCAAAAGTCACGTGACCATTCGTCTATCGGGCGAGTGATCCGGCCGAATTAAGCTTCAATCGAGACGCTCTAATGGTTTTTAATTACGGCGTGAATGACAATTAATATCGGGATAATTCGCATGCAAGCGCGACGCCGCTGTTGTGTACGCAGATTTCGGATTCGGCCGATATTTGTTGCTCGACTATACCCCCGCCGTATCGACCGATTGTTCGTGCAATTCCCGTGGAAATTAACTGGAAATATCGTGGCAAGAATTCATATTGAAAGATCTCGTTTGAACGGTGCTGGATGCAACGGTATCCGACAAGCAAAGGCCGTCTCGCGTAAATACACCTGACACGGCAAGTTCGAGATTACGCGACTCCCCGCCGATAGACACCTTACCGTTCGCAATTTAACCATGAATAATTCACCGTCGGAGCTCAAAAGTAAATTCATCGCCTCACACGGATAGACTCGGGAGAGGGAGAGAGCACGAAAGAAGAGCGCCAGACGCGGGCGGATTTACTCTTGCACTTTATTCTCGTGAATTATTCACGCACGGATTACCGAGACACCGTGATACGGTCAACGGGAGCATTTGTAAAGGTGTAGCCACGGTGTGCGTCGCGAAACGTGAACGTGAAAAAATCGTGACGTTGATGGAACTTGAGCGGAAGACAATTGGTTGACGGGATATGGGGTGGGGAGGGTGAGTTACGTCGATAGCGATGCGAACAAATCATCGTCCACGTAGAAATACTACCACGTCGATACGTCGAACTGTCTACATCTCTCCCGTTCACGTCTGTATATTATTGCTGAATCTGAAAATAGCGCTTGTCTACGAAATTATCGATAGCTCGCCTGGTATCATCCGGTGGAAACCAAATACGTACCGCAGATACACGGGAATATTAGAACACGACCAACAACGGGACGAAAAGTGACAGTTCTCGTCGAAATTTCATACCCGTAACCAGGTAACGCGTTTACGAGGCGAAAGAATCATTTATATACAAGCCGGCCGAGGGTGAGATATTACGGCCTAACGTAAAACGTCGGGGATCGTGCGAACGCTCCGAATCTAGTTAACCTTCATCATTTTATTCGGCGCTCCTGGCTAATGAAGCATTCAGGCCAGACGAGAAAGGTCGAATGACAGAGAAGAAGAGAGAAACGGAGAGTGTGTGAAAGAGAGATACAGTACATACAACACGGTGAAATGGTTCGACAATCGGAGAAGCCGATGGGAACGGCAGAGGGGTGGGACGGGGTGAGAGAGAGAGATAGCTGAAGACGGATTGAAACACGGCAGAAGTTCCAACAGGCTAATTATAGGAGGTTCATTCCGCTTGGCCTTTAATCGCTCGATTACGAAGGACAAAGGGCGTCTGGTATAATGGCCAGACAAAGGGATATTAAGTAGAGAGTTTCAAGCGATACCGCAATTCGTACGACACGATTATTAATCGCACGACTGGAATGGCTACGCGAATAGGTGTATCTCGCGGATGCAAACCGCATATTCGCTTTCTGTTAAATCGTGTATTGCACAATATTCCTACCTACGCTCGTATTTACTCCCGTTTGCGTTTAGGATTGGGTTTACCGGTGAGGGTAATCATTGTGGAACAAGGAAAAATTGTATTTGATTTACTTGCGACACCGTGTCTTTATTGTCTATGGTTCCGCGTATTCGTATCCTCTGCCTATCTTGATCCTGAAATAACGGCGCACTTAATTGATATAACATATAAAAAAATGTGTTCATTGATAGAATTTTTAACGAAGTTCGTAACAATGTCCCGAGTTACGCTAGTGATCCAAGATTCATGGTCAATATTTCACAAAAGATACCAATCGAACAATGAAATGGTTTATCACGAACTACCGCAGCGGGATTTTGCCATTAAAATTTGTTGCCGTGTAGAAGTTCCACCTATCATCTTCATTTCTGCGTTAAAATGTACGTCTATTAGAAATATACACGTTCTGGAAAAGTACTGGCACAAAGAAGGAAACTTAAAGTACAGGCAAAAAGACTGTTAAGTCCACGGCACATGAATGCACTAAAAGAGAGTAGATCTTCCAGTCTCATTTTCTGAAGTCCCAGAAGCTCGAGCTTCCTTTTTACTTTTATAACCTTCCTTCTGGTTTCTTTCATTCTCATCAACGTCTGTGGGCCATGTGCACAAATGGATGTCACATTCAAGAGGTGATGGAAGTAGAAGATCTGTGGTACTATTAATTTTAATTGCGGTAAAAGGTGGGTCTCGACACGTGGCAAAATCTTCTTCTATTTTAGAAGAAAAGTTGATATCACTTAATTACTCTTCATCTTGACTTCTATAAAATCAAAACAAGTATCTTACATAGCTTTATACGCAAAATAACTTTATATTAATATTTATTTTTAACAGAACCATTTAAGCATGTTAATAAGTAATATAAAGTATTCATAAATGGCGCGCAATATATCGAAAGCAATGTATAGTAGGCTTTTCAAATACTTGAATCTCATTGGCAGAGTAGAATTGATCTCAGCCAATGGGAGCGTGGCCGCTAAACGGTACGTTCAAACCGACGCTTCGTGCAGATTGTCGTTACTTTTAAACGGTGCGGAGTTGTTTGTGAAAGTGCAGTGAAAAGTCAGTTATTATTAATTTATTATTACTTATTTTGTTTCAATTGAAGTATTAGCATTAGATTTGTGTGTGGAATGGAGTAAAATCGAGTTAGTTCAGTTTTATGGCAGTATTTTCTTATTACTTACGTCGATGGCCTCATATGCCCAGGTATGTTCTACTTATTTAAAAATAACGATTGATTTCCAAAATGTCATTCTACACATATATATTTATTGACGAAATATAAAAAATATAGTACCAATTAAAAAGTATGTCAAATATTAGCAACTAATGTAATGTAAATGTTATGCGGTTCTCTTCCTGAGTGCCATTATCAGTGGGAGTAGGTATTCTTTCGGGATTGGAAGTAGACAGAAGTCTAGGTTCCATTAATAGTGCATAATTTACTGATACAGTATCATTCAATGTCCGTTCTTCGTTATTATCATCCGTAATTGTAAATTTGCCAATTGGTACCTGAACCTCCGATAAGCCCTCTACACATAGTAACAGTTTCTTATTCAATCGTACTAGACTTATTTAGCATATGCAATAAATATAAATTCACTTACGCCACACTTTGAAGGTATATGTTAATGTTTTTGGACAATAACATACGACTTCACCGACAATGAACTCTGATACTTGTGGAGTGTAGTCTGAACCAATCTTAAGCATCTGAGAAATCAATTTGTGTAAATATATGATAACATTGAGATATTTCCATTATTCAAATACTTACTTTAAAAGCTACAACATCTTTAAGTTCAGGTTTTTTCGTCATAACTGGATAGCCATCTAGACCTACATTTAATAATTCCTTTCCTTCTTGCAGCTGTTTGATCAAATTTTCACTCTCGTCTTTCTTCTCAAAGGAAACATCAAGTTGAGTCTGTTCATCGGGTATATGTTCAATTTTGATTTCTTGCTTAATGTTTTGGCTTGTGAAAGTAACTGGTGTAGAATTTTGACCCAATGATAATAAGTTATCAAGTTCATGAGAAACTGTTACTTCGTTAGTGGAAGATTCATTCGTTTCTTCTCTGTGGGTGATTTGCTTTCTGTTAGCTTTTGCGGTGTCCAGAGTGTCAAATCTTATATGCTTGCTGGATGGGATGATGCAAGAATTTATTATCACAGGTTTCTTTACTTGTGTTTCTGTGTCTACATTTTTGTTCGGTGTTTCGTTAATCGTTTGCGCCTTCTTTTTTTTTCTACTTCTTTTTCGTTTTCGAGTTAGATTATTGTCTGTATTTAATTTGTCAATTGTGTTCCTATCTACATTTGACTCAATTGTACAATTAGCTTCATTTTCTGGTTTATAAGATAATGCACTGGTTTCTAAAACATCTAAAAGGATAAAATTTTTAATTATAAAATCCTTTACTTGAATTAAAAAAGTTTCACTAATTCAGTAACATCATCTTACCACTTTGAGATCCGTTGAGAGTTTTATTCAATTCATTCTCTTGAACTAAAGCTGACTTAGATTGAATTGGAAGAATATTAGTCTGTGATTCTTTGTCTGAAACATAATTATTTTTAATCACAGGCTTTGTAAAGTTGTTCTGCAACGTTGGTACTGTTGTTGTGTTTATTCTTGTATCAAGTAGGTATGACTCTCCTTGAAGACCTGTTCCTGGACAAACTCTGTAACATATCAATAGAAAGATCACTATATTTATTATACACTGTATTTAGTAATGGAATAAATAAGAATCCTTACAGAATTGTTTCATTCTCTTTGAGAATACGAATATCCTCATTCGGTGGCAGATATTCAGTTGTATGCAACATCAAATGGAACGGTTTTTTTATATTAACTAGCTTTGTGATATGACCTATCACGTGAGAGATTTGTAGCATTTTCGTACTGTCGACAAAAATCCAACAAAACCGACGCGCATCGTTGTAATAATTGCATAAATCGAGCTTAATGCGAAAATTCCGTACATTCATTATTCCGGCACAGAGAACAACATATATCTGATCGGTGGTTCAGGTTATGTTTAATCATTAATGATTGTTCACTGACGTACTCTTACGGCTAGTGCCAGGAACTACGAACATTTATGTATCAAATAAAACCTGCCAAATCAGTGGCGGACTCTATAGTGAATGATCAACCATAGGTAAAGCGTGAGAGAATTTACGCTTATATACATTATTTGAAATTGTTCTCTACGTTATCAGCGCAAGATATACCTCTTGTTCTGTGAGAGAATTCTCTGAGAGAATATAGTGGTCAAACAGAAAGAAAATAAAGAGAATGGACAAAATTCTCAATGAATCATATTAATGAAATTGGTGGTCACATATGTAAAACTTCAGTTAATTTCAATGGTGCTTTGGTATACTATACTTATATTTACATATTGTACGAGAACAGTCTTAGTACTTGTATAAATTTATTTATATTTATATCAGTTGTTGTTACTTAATAAAAATCCAAGTATCAGCTTGGATATATTATACTTAATCATCTACCATACTATATAGTTAAATTTATTAGTAAACTAATTCAATAGAAACTCTAATGAGTAAGGCTTAATAATAGATATCATTTGCTACAGTCCTCTTACTATTTGTTTCATCAGAATACAATAGAATGGAAGAAGGGAACGAGTAATTTCCAGAGTCTTTGAATATGACATCCATCTTTTATTTAATTTCGGATAACGCAACGATACAAAGTCAAGAGCTCACGCTACTAGTGTACTCTGTCACCATATGTTTCATGCGGAACTACGCTAGAAATTAGTCACAATCGTGTCCAGTGTGGCCTGACATGTCTATTCTCACGTGGATCAAGGTAATTACGCGTGAAACATCAGATCACGCGGTTTTTGATGTTCGCTCGTTATGTCGTTTGATCTAGATAACATTAAGTCTAAGTAACACGAAGTAATGGGGTTGCAAGTTCAGGTAAATAGGTATTTCAGCAGAAGGTTCGCCTTATACAGAATTCCGAGCGATCCGTGAAGCTTTGACTTGAACGCGATTTACAATCAAATAGATTTATCCTCTTATCGCGATGTGCGATATTTCATGGGTACATTAAACGCCGTAGATCACGCCCACGCCCGTTGCCGTTCAATTTTTCTTTATTTAATGTAAAATTATGGCCCAATGTGGGCATCGATTCAACGAAATATCCACATCACAATATTTTATTATTTACATAGACTCTCTACAATTTATGCTAACGATGTATATATATATCTATATTTATAACGAAGTATATATTGTATATGTATATATATATATATATCGTAATACAAAGATGACATTCTTCTCAAACGTTATATAATTACAATGTCGTACGACAACGTAATGTAATAAATGCTTGCGTCTAAATCGTAAAATCAGCGATCGTTGCACACAGTTCCTCGAGGTTCATTCGTCCGGATGCTTTGCCATTATCTTTACCGAAAACGATAATGTAGACGCTAGTTTTTTCTCTTTCAGCGTACAGCACGTACGATAACACTATTTAAAAAGCTAGTTCTGCGATCGAACAGAGTTTGTACCTGGTGTTCGGTGTTCACCTGAATGTTATTGTACTCGGACAGTAACTCAGGCTCGGGCAAGGCAATCGTGTATAATAATTTTTACGTATATCGTAATTGACAAATAATTCGATATTTCATGTAAATAGGAGGGGCGACTCTGTTGTACTCCGCGCCACTGTTCCATAGAAATAGATTGTGTTTATCGTGAACCAATAGAATTTGGTCGGTTTTTGACGGCGCTTAGAAGATAATTTTTGAATCGTGGATCGAAGCGGCAATGATATTACGCATCGAAGGGATCACGTGACACGATGTACATATAAAGACCAGGTGTGGGCGACTGAAATATTCAAACGACTGGCCAACGATACTTTATAAAACGATCCACGGATGTTCCGCATGTTCGTAAATGGGTAATAAGATAGTGAACGGGCAGTGGGAGACAATCTTGAAATAGAATATTTTTATAGGATACTTCGATACATTCGTAAGGATAGGAAACTACTGGTTCTATAATTCGGAATAATTATGTTAAACCCGACGTAATTCGGTCGATACTTGGTCGACAATCGAACCCGCAAGTAGAATGCTTGCGGTATCGAATAAACAATAAAGGTGTCCATACATCGAGATTAGAATTGAAAATCGGTAGAATAGAAGAAAACAAATGTATCGTAGGACGAAGTCGCGGTTCGTACGATCGAGAAACAGTTCCATCGTCGGTAGATTTTCTTTTCTAATCAGGAAGGAAGTACATTGGATTTCATCGAATTTCGGGGACGTAGATACTTTTTAATCGTGGACAAAATCGAGAATACATCGAGTACGTGAGATCTGCGCTAAACACATCGAATTATCGAAAAAAGTGGACATTTAATCTTTGATCGTTAATCAATTATCGTTAAATTGGCCTTTCCTTAAACCATTCGGTCGCGGTTTCTTATAGAATAGATTCGTTCTACGAACTTTATCCTAATCGTCGAAAATGTTAAAAGTTCCCGTCGGTGATCGAACAGAGGCCGTCTTCTCTAGGGTAAAAGTTCTCCAAGAAGTTGTGCGCTCTCGATCGAACGATTGAGAGGAGTATACCGATATCCGGTCGGTCTGCCTCGTAGCGTGCGTAACGTCGAGGTCCGCATGACCGATAATCACGGAAGAAGAAATTACCGGCGTTCCTCGAAAAGCTGGTTCTCTATATATTTTTTCGGTCCCCGGGTGTCTCTACCCGTCCAATTCCATCGTGATTGTGGTGGCCGCCGTTCGACGATCAATGACCACGGTTCGCCACGCGAAACACGTCGAGATCGATGAAAAGTGGAATTACCGATCGATCGTAATCGCATGCGAATGGAATCACTTGGTTAAATCGACGAGGCATAGTTTCTCCCTCCCTACACCCCCCCTTTTCCCCCATTCTCTCGCTCGAATCGGCAGACACGTTGCAGTCAGATCCTTACGAGAGAATGCAGGAATTCCTCTTGGACTCGGATCGCTCGCGGATCTGTTGTAAATGCTGGAGCTGGGCCGGGGATGGCACGTGAGCGCTGCTGCTACGAGAATTCAAATGCTGCGGCGGTGGCAATGACTGCCGACGACGTCGTCGCAGCGCCGGGCTTAAATTGTATTTCAGCTTCGCCTGTATTAGAAGTTCCTTGAACACCTGCGAGATGTTCACGTTTTCCTTTGCCGAGACCTCCACAAAACCGTTCTCCCATTTTATCGTGACCAATTCTCTCGTGCTGTCTGTGTCCACCTGGAATCACGAGGAACATCGGATAGTAAACGGTGTGTCCGCCAAGTCTGTCTTGTAGAATCGAATATATAACTGCGTTAATTATTACGATCGATGGAACGAGAACAACACCTTAGCATGGGGAATGTTTACTGCCAGTAGATATAGCGACTACTAGTCAGACGAGAGTGTGTTCCCACGCATTTTATTTTTCATTTTACGATTTCTTTTTAAGACCCAATCTACTGTCTACGGTAATCTAGTTCCCTAAACATACATTATTTACACACCTACTTGAACAATTTTTTCATTTGTATTCGAATGTGAAAATTGTTGTTTAGAACGAAGGGTTTGATCCAGTTAAGTAGGTACACTCGACCGTTGGTAAATACATACTTCAGTAAGTTCATGCAGTTCCCTGTGTTGGCTGTGTTATAAATAATTTACCGTTCTGGTCCTGAACCCGTGAAACTAATCCCCGAAATAAAAAAAAAAAAGAGAAAAGCAAGTCCCTGAAATCACGTAGAAAATCGCGGTCGTACCTCTTGTTTCGAGTCGACCAGATCGACTTTGTTCCCGACAACGACGATCGGGACCGCGCCCTTCATACTGTAGATCTGCGCCTTGAGGGTCTCGACCTCGAGAAACGTGTTCGCGTCGTTAACGTCGTACACCAGGATAAAAGCGTCCGCGGATTTGATGGAGAGGTCTCTCATGGCCGGGAACTCGTACGAGCCGGACGTGTCCAAGATGTCGAGCGTCAGATGGACCCCGGAAACGTTAAAATCCCCGTGATGCATCTCCTCCACCGTTCGCTTGTACTTCGGTGTGAATGTGTTGTAGAGAAACTGATTGATTATCGCCGACTTGCCGACCTTCGCGGCGCCCATCACCACGATCTTGTGCCTTATGTTGCTCTCGGCCTGTTTACCGCCGCCGCTGTCCGACTCCGACAGTCTCTCGTTTCTGCAAAATATTCATCGATCCCCGTAGGTCTATTTCGGTGTCGAAATAAAGTCGGGGGAGGTTTTTCGATCGAGTAAACAACGGTCGTAGTCGGGAAATGTGATCATACTGCGGCGATAAATGAAAATTGGAGCTCGAGAAGAGAGAAATGGGAACGAAGGTTTTTTTCTTCCTCTTTTTTTTATGTCCCCATTCGACCCCATCGGTTCTGACCTCTAACGAGGATGGACGACGTAAATAAAAGAGGGTAAGCATCGCGCGTTTAAGGGGACAACGGCCCAGATAAGAGAATAGCCGCTAATGAACGTTAAAGATCCCTTTCAACGGCATCGCACGTTATTGACTATAGCTGGGCGTTTTGTGTAGGTCCGTCCTGAATTCCTAGGCGACTATTACTTCCCTGGGATATCCACTCCGCGAGGCGAAGCACTCCCGGTGCTTTTGCATGCACCAGATAACAACTGTTCCTAAGTATCTTCGTCTTCGTAATCATCCACGCTTATTACAGGAAGGAGTCAGCCGCGGTTATTACCGACTGCACAAAGGAGGACAGAAGGACAGGGAGGGAGAGAGAGAGAGAGCCGAGATTCCCTTTTTGCGAAAGTCTCGCCGCAAAATTAAAGCTCAGCCCCACCCTAAGAGCCGAGTCAAGAGGCAGGCCAGGAATGAAGAGACCGCGGCCGAAAGGAGGAAAGCAGAAGGATGGGGTAAGTGGTTGAAAGTTGAATATGTTTCGCGTTCCGTGGTGCTCGTGGTCTTTTTTCTCGTTTCAGCAGAGTTTCGGTGTTTCGCGAGATTTTACGCAACTTTCTTGCCCCGTCGTTAATATCCAATCGTGTTTAATATTCCGACAAAGACAATCGTTTACGTTCGAAAGATATTCGCGAGTGGTCAAATAACAAAGAATGCGTTAGCGGTATTTCTTTCGTCGTTATCAAATTTTTCGTTCCCGTTAACGCGATTGGCGGGAGATATATATGTATTGTAGGTTTTCTTACCTAACGTGTTTCGTCGGTCCATCCTCCTGGCCCTCCTTTAACGACGACGGCTGTAGACTGAAACGACGGCGAAACTGATGCCGACCTTTCATCATTTGTGCCCGAGTGTTCCTATAAAAGAAAAGAACAGGATTCGTGAGTCCATTTCGCGTGAGGATGTGAAAAAAAAAAAATAGTAGAGAAATTCGAACAGTAAAGATCGGCGACATGTTGTTTACTTCGCGTAATGTATTGAATCGTTAACCCTTTAATTAGTATAACGATGAGACGAAAATTTTGCGAAACACTGACGCCAGGCAATGGTAACAGGCATTCCCGATTGATCCACCTACAGATAGACGGATAGATATTAATGTTTCTGCTGATAAAACTGGGACGAGCTCACACGCGTCAAATATCATATCGATCGGTACCGAGGAAGGAGCGCCACGAAAAACTTTTCCTCGCGTCTAAACGAAAACGTGTATTAACCAAGCTTGTCGATGTAATTTCGAGTCTTGCTCGACGATAAATATTCAAGAATCTACGTAACCTTTCAGTCTCGCGGGTTAACAAGGATAATCGGGAGTTTAACGAGGAGAATGTTCAAAGTTCCAAAGCTTCGTTGAATGGAATTCATTTGGCCGCGATTTAATGCTCTCATAATCCTTTCCACGGCCGAAGTAAGCCGGTTTTAAGACGCGATTAAGAATATACCCGCGTACCTAGGCTCGCGAGAACCTTATGAATTTGCAAAACAGGCGCGAAAATTATTCACCCCTCTCCCTCTTCCCTCGCTTGCACGGAACGACCCGTTCGTGCGCGTGTAGGTGTTCTCGTTGAATCGGTAACTCGAGTAATTCTCGGGTTCTATGGATCGCATTAATTTTTCAATCTCGTCCACCGTCTCCGTCGCTCTGCGTAATTTCTTTTCTAGGCTGGTGTTTCTTAGTTTTCCTTTCGTTTACGAGTGGGGAGGGCAGGTCTCGATATCGACTCGGGGCAATGAGAACACGGTGAAAAGTGTGCGACTCCGGGAACGGCTGAAAATTCATTGGACGGTTATCGGCGTGAACTTATCGTTGGGCAAACTCGCGTAGAGGATCTAGCCGAAGAACGCGGGGAATGGAAGTGGTTGGCGAGGCGTGCAGTATTTCAATTTATCGCGATGCAACCGATCGATTCTTTCGTATTCCCACGGCTCCTCTAATTTAATCATGGCGTGATTCGCGTGCAGTATCGTTAATATCGTGGCAAAAGTAGCTCGTACGGCAGGGAGGGGGAAGGAGAACAGCGCCCATGGGTGTCCTTTGATTCTTCGCCGTAGGTGGTGACATTTTCTAATCTTGTCGGGGGACGGTTCTCCCGATTCTCCCGTGGATAAACACGTATACTCACTCCCGCGGAACCGTTTGCACACGGATCGATACGCCGTGTAACGCAGTTTCCCATCGTGATAACCGGTGCGTACGCGTGTCCGTTTCCACCCCCCTTAACCCTCATCCCTCCTCCAGCCCGCGGCGACACGAGGCCAGACGCGCGTTCTTGCCGGAGAACAAGAGTTGAAAGATCGATACGCGACCATGATAATTGCCAGGCAGCCTCGGTTGAAAAACCGCTACCGATATCGAAGTTTTCATTGAACTGTTTCCACGCTCGGTGCAACGCCACGCGAATGAGTTTATTAAACCACTCTCCCTCTGTGGCTCCCTTTTAATCAGGAATGATTACATAGATTCTGTTTGTTTGTTTTTTTTTTTTGTTGTATTTGGTTACAATTCGTGGCGTTTCTCGAGCGCAAGTGTCTTCGTTATATATTTGCTGGACGAAGGAACATTCGTTTGATCTGGTTAAAATTAAATTCGATGTTAACACGAATAAAGATAAACGACAATCCTGTAGTTTCTTCAAAGAGAAGTCGGCCGAGATACGACGAATACTGCGTACCTTGTTTTCCTCTCCGTCATTGTACGCCTCGAATTCAGTCGTTTCTTAACGCCTCCCTGCCATCCCCTCTCGTTAAATTTCGACGCTCGTCTTACCTTCGAGTTGGCTACGAAAGGGATTCCGAGATCCTAATTAAAAAACGATCTCGCCGTAAAATTGTATTTCCCCAGTGTCCTCCAGTCGATCGTTTTTCGGTGCTCAGAACGAAGTGAAACTTCGCCGATCCGGCCCAATCACGAGGAACACGTTTTAATCCGTACGTTTATCGGGCTCTATAAAGAAAGCCCCCTCCGAAGAAGCAGCACTGTTATCGATCAACGGTTTTCCGGCTATATTGCCGCTATAAACTGTCAGGGGCCGGTTTGTCCGACTTTTAATCTAGTTCCACGGGAATTCGTTTCCATCGTCTCGATCCGACACCCGAGGGCTGAACGTTCCACGAATTTACCATCTTCTGTGACTTCACCTTTTCGAGATCTTCACCCTCGTTCTCTATCGGAAAACCCTTTCCCACCCCCTCCGGATAATTCGTATTCTTGGGGAGCCTGTCTCTGGGATATAAATTACGGTAATCAGGGAAACGCGCAGCGATCAAGCGCGCTAATATACGCGATTCGCAATTAACCATACGGAATCGGTATCCTTTCCCCCGGGAAACATTTCTTCCCCTCTTATGGAAACATTGCCAATAACCGCTGGAGTGTGTTTATTATTAGCAACGTCGACCGTAGAGCGTGTACGGCCATGACACTTAATGGGGCTGGAATATATCGAACCGTATCGTACGAATAGTCCTTGATTTCATTCTCGGGGATCGCTTCTCTCCACGAAAAATAAATGATATTCTTCGAATTGATAATTCATTCCTCTCCCCGACACACGACCGAAGACCCATTTTCCTCCCGTGGATTTCGGGAGGAGGGACAAATGAATTCTCCGCGATGGTGGTGTGCAGTGTTCGAAATTGAATCGCCAGCAAAATGGTCGGAAAGTCTCTGCGAGTGAAAAGTGTCAGGATAGGGGTGAGGGAGGGGGTTGACCTAGGGTTATGGCTTCGTCCACGTAATCAGATGCGTCTCCGGAAATCCCTGGATCTCGAAATAATCCGAATTAAGTAGATTCGGGAGCTCGTTTCTCCCCGCGGATTCATTTCGCTGCGACGCCCGGTAAATCTTCTCGTTGGCACGCAACCGAGTACCTACCTACTCAAAGAGTGGCTCCGTGGATCAGGTTGGGACCAGGATAGATTAAACTAGAGACGGAAACGTTGTTCGTCACGATTCTAGACGCCCCTCTACTGCCGATGTTTGCGCGGTGCTGCGGGTATCGTTCGCGAGAAGAGCTAAAATTATACCCGAGTCCGGGTGATATACCTCGGATCGATATTCAGATTATCCGAAAAAACAAAAGAACAAAGAAGAAGAAACGATGCGGGTAGGCGGTGGTATCGCGTGCCGTTCTCCACGTTGTCGGCCGCGATAACGGTGCGCGATCGTACAACGAATTCGACCTGTTCGCTTTTCGGTTTATATCCGTTTGTCCTCCCATCCTCCCCTCTCCCCACGATTTATTCGCAAACGATCCGAATACATTTTGTGTTTTAAAGACACTCCGATAGAAACCACGGATTTGCATTTCCAATCTGTCGACGTAGCTCCGACGTTGAATGTCCATGAAATACAGAAAAAAAGAAAACAGGCGGATTGTTTCGACACGGGACGATCGCGCTATTGACGTGTGCGCGTAACGCTTTCGTGTGTCGCTCGCAACAGGAGACGGTTACCGCGTTGACATTAATTAAATTCAGTGAGCGCGTTTAATGCCAGCGTTAACGGGCTCGCCGGGGAAAAAAAAACGAAGCGCCTGACTGTTTTCCGATAAGAGGACGATGTCGCGTCGATTTAACGTTCGTTGTACTTTACGATCGAACCCTTCCCGACGTAGCTGTTTAATACACGTATGTACTCGTTTTCGCGAACGATCGTGTTCTTTACGTTTGCGCGATTAATAGCCTCGAAATTCGGTAGCTTATTCATTTTCACGCGTAGCCTGAATCCAGAGGATTCTTTTGTTTGGTAATGATACCAATTACGAACTTCCCTGAGTTCCCGTCATGGAAGCCAGACGAGCGGGAGAGCTTTTCAAGGCGTTCTTGACAATTTAAGATTTCACAGAGAAGGAGGGTTGCACCGGGTCTCTCATTACCAGGTTTTTGTCAAGAAATGAAAATAGCCTCCGCAGCGCCAAGGCGAGCGTCTTTTTAATCAAGGAAAATTGCCCCGGCTCGGCTGCATGCATATTCATAGAGCGCGCATTCGTGAAGGAATAAGCATCGACGTCGGCAATATATCGAGACGACTCTCTCTTTTCTATCCCTTCCCGTAGATTACTTAAAAAGCTTTCGAACGTGGGCGCTGATCCTTTGAAACGATTCCATCCGGCGACAATCTGATCCGTGTTATTGATTGTTTGCGGAACAGGCGCACGTTCGCTCGGGCCGGTGTAAAATATAAAAGGTACAAGCTCGTGAAATTTCTCGTTTAAGGCGTTCTTCCGCATCGACGGAAACTTTTACGTAACGCGAAAGGTCTCCTCCTTCTATGGACGTTCTCGAAATCTCGCGTTATTTGTCGTCATAAAGGTGTTTACCGGCGATACACACACAGAGGGACCATTTCACACATACACGGTACAAATGCCCAACCCTAGTGGAAAATGCTTTTACGAACTTCGTTCAGCCTCGTAAATTACGCGCGGCCAGGGTAGAGAGGCAACAAGTCCCGCGACGGTGTTTCTCGGTCATGCGAGGTCTCTTCCGCGCGACCCCGGCCGATAATCGATCGTCTTCGGTTTCAGTCAACTTGTCGCCGGTTACGCACCGGTTGATTACACGAAACGTTTATGCACGGGGGTTAGATAAAGAAACTGTAGCGCAGTACAGTACGCGTCATTCTAGCTCTCCCAAGGAACGCGACACAATTTTCTTCGCTAATAAGACGACCTGTGTTGCGCAGGGGAAGAATATGACAGTATATCGTACGACGGGACACAAACTTCTGGATTTAATGGCCAAGTAACCCGAAGGTTCAACTTTCTCCCCTTAGTTCCTGAAAAGCACCGCGAGATAACGTCTCGGATGGGCTCTAATTGTGAAGAAAGAGTAGCA